CCTCTGGTTTCTACTACACCATCACTACTGGATCCTTATTGAAACTCCCATCAGATCCTGCAGGCATCCTTCCACAGGACCAGTCCCTTCTCACGAGCTCCAGCTGGTCCTAGATAGGGCAGATATTAGGGTAGGCCAACCCCAGGCCCAGCTGGTCAGTTTAGGCCATTGGGGCCACCCCACCTCAGGCAGCAGGTGGAGCCAGCTCCCTTATGCCATCAGGGTCAGCTTGAGGACCCAGGCTGGCCTGTGAGTGGCTTACATCCTTCTGAGCTGAATCAAGAATGTGTCTTTTAAGGGGAAGAAAGAGGGTAAATAATTTTTAAAGTATATGTATATTATAAGCAGATTATTGTGAAAACGGGCACAAATTATATAGTCCTTGTCTTTCATATTATTTCTTGGATACGTTCTATAAGTAAACACTAAGTAATATTCACTGATGACATCCAATAGTATTTTAAATCTTTACACTAATTTTAGTTTCACTAAGAATGCAAGTAGTAATGTGCTAACAAGGCAGAGGACATTTCTCAGGGCAGTCCTGCATGAATCCCATGTGCTCACAGTTCTTGATTGTGTCTTTCTCCAACCTGCTGCTTTAGTGACCTTTGAAGTCATAATGATATCATTAACCTACTTTCCATATATCTTGATTCTTTTCAATATTTTGAAGATCGCCTTTCTGTTGGCCCAATCGCTTCCCCTTGCTTTATTTTAAATCTGTGGCTCATGGCATGATATAATATAGATTTTTGGCTCAAGAAACTGCTTGAAAACTATGATTAAACTGGCAGTGTTGACCCAGCAGAGAAGTAATGGCTTAAGTTGCCTTTGTACTGGTGCTAAGTTTATGCTTTTATTTAAGATTCATAAAGGAAAGGCAGAAAAAAATACATCTAAAAAATAATTGAAGGAATTTCTGTTTTTCACAGTGATTGAGAATTGTATTACTAACTCCCTAATTATGCATATTTGTATTGATACAGACAAAGGCATTTAAAAATGGCCATAATTTTCATTAGCAAAATGTCTACAGGCATACATCAGAAACTCATACTTAACACAGAATCCGAAAAAAGCAAAAGTACCGTAACTTACATGAACTTTGATGTCTTATTTATTAAGTTGTAATAGACTACACAAACACAATTTCCCAGTGCTGCTCTTTTTTTAATGTGGATAGTACCATGCAGCCACCACCTTAACCATCTCCAAAACTTTTCATCTCCTGTAGTGACTGAAACTCTGTACTCACTAAGTCCCCATCTACTTAATTTTTGGTATTATTATTACTATTATTGTTATTATTGATCCTAGGTTACTTTCTGTAAGCCCTGCTTGTAGACTAGGCTGGCCTCAAACTCTGAGGTTCGCCTGCCTCTGCCTCCCCATTGTTGGAATTAAAGGTGTGCATCATGACCCTGCTTGTTTTTTTTTGTTTTTGTTTTTGTTTTTTAATTTATTAAGAGTTACAAAAAAGACAAAAACAAAGCTTTTACTTACTTTATGGATCCATAATAGTATTCTTTCAGGGACAACAATATAGACTAGTGTGCTATAGTTCTTATGGAAGAGGAGTCACGAGGTAATTCTAGGAGCTCTCTTCGGGGGCATTTACTACTCTGGGACTGGACAGTAATCAGCCCCTGCAGCTCCCACAAATGCAGTGAATCCTCACCTGAATCCTCATCAGTACACCGGGGAGGAATCATGGTTTGCAAAGTCACCCATATCTTCAGCCTGCTCACCAGCCCAGGGATCCCCAGCCCTCCTGCAGCAAGCCTCTCCTATTTTCCACTCTCTATAATGTGGAAGTTCCAATTTACCATGACCCTGCTCCTGTTCCTGTCCATGTCCAGAGGCTGTGCCTGACAGTAGTCTGCCCTCAGGACATTCCCCATTCTCTGTGTTGCTACTCTGCATCCCTTATGTCATATCTATCTGCCTTCTTTTGTCTGGCTCCTAGTTTACAACATTTCATCTACTGGTTATATGGTGCCCTACCATAAATATTTGATACAATGGCAAAAACTTAAATATAGCAGCTTCACCATGCTTATTATTATTATTATTATTACGTTTGGTTTGTGTGTGTATGTGTGTAGTTAGGGTACATATACTTTGTATCTGATCTGCAAATACCATAAAAAAATACTCATTTCATAATAGAGTATCTACATTTAATTTTATAGTCTCTAGGGGGAAAAAGTCTCATTTAAAAATTCTATGTGGTTTAGGACAATTAAGGATATCAAAGATGCATTTAAAATATTAAGACCCACTCTGTTTTCTAGAAGTTATGAAAGCAATACCACTTAATAGGTTAGTTGCTACTGTGCACTTCTGAAGCACTTTGGAATCATTTGTCTGTCTAAGGGAGGGCATGTTAGCACCATTGGTTAATAGATGAGAACTTTCCCTCTCTGCACTTACTGTATTTGAATTACGGAATTTACCCAGAATATTCTGAGGCAACAATCCTTTTTAGTAACCTCCTTTTCTCTTAGGTATTACTAAGATATTTTTTCTAGTAGGGTTTTAAAAAGTAGGAACAAAGATGTCGTATCTTGTAGTAAGAAGAGATATACTTAACTCAAAGATTTGTAGGAGATTATATTACTCATACAGAATTACAGAATAAATTTGAAGACATTTTTGAGCAAATGTAGCTTTAATGTGTACCTAATTCATACTTTTCTTCCTTAAGGAGAGTCTGGAGACTCTTGTACCCACAATAATTCATTTGCTGCATTCTGTTGGCCTGTATATGATGTTGTTAACAAAGAAAAAAAACAAGGAAACCATGGGTGTTTCTCTTCTGAGCTTGTCATAATCCACTTTGAGGCTGCATTTCTGTATTACTGGTTATGTTATTCCTCGAAATAATCTAAATTGAGGGCATGTTTTCAGAAATGTCATAATTTGAGGAAATAAAGGGCACAGACATCTTGCTATCCTGATCTTTATTCATTTAATTATACAGTAGCACGAAGGTGACAATCCTAAAGCCTGCTTTGTTTTATCTGTTTGTAAATGTTTATTCCTACTCTTGTTTTTGAGCTTTTTAATACTGTATAAAGTATTGGTTACTAGGTGTCTTAATGTGGTTCTTTCTAGCACTTCTACAAAGTCATTGTCAGAGAATTTATTCTAATTCAAGGTTAATTAGTGTACCATTAAAATAATGTGTTACAAAAATTAATTATATTGCAGGTCAGAACATGTATTAAAAAGCATAGTGCAAATGTCTGGGAGTGCATCATCCTTCTTAAAACATGACTGTGTGCCATCTTTCTGGAAAATGCATCCAGAGGGAAACTCACCCCTGAGGTCCAGTCACAGGTGTTTCCCCTAAAGTAAATTTTGGCACCACATATGACAAATTTAAAATATAACCCCCATTAATGGTGAAAGTGCTGCTCATCTACTCTACCATCAGAACAGCTAACGATTCATAGTTCAGCATTAGTTGGTGAAACATGATTGGGTCAAACCTAAAGGAAAAATCAGGAGCCTGCTTGAGAAGTAAAAATTATCTATTCATCTTGTTGTAAAAGCACATAGCATTATGTTTTCCTATTGTGATACAGTTCTCATATGTGCACTCTAGAAGCATGTCACACATTGTAATTATGTATAAAACTACATAGTATTTAGTTTCCCTACGGTGAAATAGTTCTCATATGTATGCTATGGAATCATGTCACACACTGTAATTGTGCAGTGATTCTTATTAATAGTTGAACTTTATACCTACTCTAAATAAAGCTAGTACTAAAAATGATAAACTTTTATCTGACTCTTCTTCCTTCTTCTCCTTCTCCTCCTTCTATTTCTTCTTCCTCCTCCCCCTCCTTCCCTTTTTCGAGACATGTTCTCTCTGCATAGTCCTGTCTGTCCTGGAACTTGCTAAGTAGACCAGGCTGGCTTTGAACTCACAGAGATCAGCCTGCCTCTGCTTCTCTAGTGCAGGGACTAAAGACATGTGCCACCATATAAGGTTGATTGGCCCACATTTTCAAACTTTTGTTTCCCTTTTTTATAATTTTATGTGTGCAAAAATTTTTTGGAGAAAATGTATAAGAAAACAGATACAGGTAAATAAAAGAAAATCAAACGCGTGAAATCAATAAAAAGGGAAATCTGTAAGGAAGATGTTGTTCTTGCTATTTATTCAATTACTTGAATTAATAGATGTATCAAGAGAGTCTAAATGATAAAAGCAGTGTACGTGGGTTTAGAAAAGCACCTGGGAAGGTATCTTTTAGAGTCGTCCTTGTCTCAACCTTTATAGATTTAAATGTTTTCTACAGTGACAGGGGTTTCAGCTTAATGTGGGAAAGCATCTTATTCTTTTTAAGAACATCACTGTCACCCTCAGAGTAATGCCATACATCACCCATTATTAGCCATACCAAGATTTTCTGGCAGTCAAAAACAGGAATAATACATTAATAGTAATTGTAAGTCTTTTATATGTAAAAGTCAAAAGTAGTGAGTGTATCATGGACTGGAGAGATGGCTCAGCAGTGAGATTATCCATTCAACAAATATATTTATGTATTTGTTTGTGCATGTATATGCACCTACATAGAAATCAAGGAACGGCTTGCCACAGTTGGTTCTCTTTCATCACGTAGATCCTGGAAATGGAACTTGGGTTATCAGGCTTCATAGCAGGCATCTTTATGGGCTAAGTCATTTTGCCATCCTAACTCATATTATTGATTTTGTTGCTTATACTACCAATTCCCATTCTTCAGATAAGGAAATTGGTTAGAGCAAAGAAGTTACTGGACCTGTGGGTGATAGATCGGAAGTAGAACTTGGGGCTTCCCATTGCTACCCACTTTCCCATAGTGCATTTTATAACACCCTCAGAATAATTAATCTATAGTTTTATATATCTCTTTCCCCATCTTTATAGCATATGAACTCTATATGGTCCCACATATATATTTATATTAACAAGTTCCTTCATTGTCTTCTACTTGTAGGGCAGAGCTCTTCTCCACTGGGCATGTGACCGAGGACATAAGGAATTAGTCAAAGTCTTGCTACAGTATGAAGCTGACATTAATTGTCAGGTAAGAATAGCTTTTAAATGAACTTGCTTTTCTTCTTTTTAATTAAGATTCATTAATTTTTATTATGGGTGCTTAACCTGTATATATATATACATACATACATATATATACATATATATATGTATCACATGTTTGCAGTGCCCAGACTCCTCTGAGATGGAGTTACAGAGGATTCTGAGTCTTGGGAATCCAACCTCTGTCCTTCAAGAGCAACCAGTGCTCTTAGCTACTGAGCCATCTCTCCAGCCCCTAAAAGAACCTTAAAAAAAAAAAAAGCTGGAGTAAAACTCATAAGAAAATGTATTAGAATGTCTTCTGGTGTATGTCACTGCAGCCCCTGCTATAGAGCTCCACAGTGTTGTCATCATCCAGTGGCAAATCCTGTAGCACTTACATAGTTGCTTCTGCTTTCCTCTAGCCCCAAACATAGCAACCACTAATCTGCTTTTTGGTTGTTTGGTTGTTTGGTTGGTTGGTTGGTTGGTTGGTTGGTTGGTTGGTTGGTTGGTTGGTTGGGTTTGGATTTTGGAGACAGTCTTTCTATGTAGCCCTGGCTGTCCCGGAACTATCTCTATAGACCAGGTTGGCCACGAATTCAGAGATCTGCCTGCCTCTGCCTCTCAAGTGCTAGGATTAAAGGTATGGCCATCACCACTTGGCACTAATCTGTTTTTTTTTGTTTTGTTTTCTGTGTGGTATTTCTTGTAAATGGAATCATGAAATAAGTGCTTTCCTGTTTTGTTTCTTTCATGTAACATATTCTCAAGGTGTTTTTCTGCTAGAGCATGCCATAGGACTTTTTTTTTTTTTTTAATGCCTGGATTTTTAATACATGAGCATCCGATGTTTTCTTTAGCCATTCATCAGTTAATAGACTGTTATTGTTTCTAACTTTTGACAGTTGTAATAATGCTACAAAACATTTGTGTTTTTCCTGCTTTTACACTTACTTCTAAGGCTAGAATGCCAGAATCTTAGGATAACTTTTTACAGTTTATTTTTATTGTATGTGTAAAAATAGTTTTCTATTTTGTGCCTGGTGTCTTTGGGAGGCCATTAGATACAACTGGGGTTACCAACAGTAGGGAGCTAATTGAACCCAGGTCCTCTACAAGAGCAACAATTGTCCCCATCTGCTGAACCATCTCTTCGGCCCCAATTTTTTGGTAATTTAACATGTAATTTCTTCATGTGTAACTTTTGGGAGTCTAAACTATTTTCCATAGGAGTTGTACCCCCACACACACACACCAGTGTTCGAGACTTCCAACTTCACTCATCCTTATTTTCCCTTCTTTTTAAAATAACCATCCTAGTGGATGTAACTTTACTTCATCATTATATGATTTTGATTTACCTTTCCCTAATGACTAAACAGTACTGAGCCTCGTGTGTGCGTGCGTGCATGCGTTAATTCATTCTTTACACCAGGCTAGCCTCTAACTCAGAGATCTGCCTGTGTCTGCCTTCCAAGTGCCGCCTAGGTTTTTTTTGTTTTTTTTGTTTGTTTGTTTGTTTGTTTGTTTTGTTTTGTTTTTTGTATATTTTAAAATTTCACTTTATGAACCATTTGTTCATGTCTTTTACCTAATTTATTAATAGATTGATACTTTTAAAAGATTATAGAGACACTTTATGTATCAAGAAAAAGTTTTAATATACATATGACATGTTAAAACTGTTCCTCATAGTTTCTTTTGGAATTTTCTCCCTTTATGGTTTCTTTGGGCCATCTATAATTACCCTGTGTCTTGTATGTTTTAGTAGAGATTTTATTTTGTGTAGATGCCTCGCAGGTTGTTCCAATGTGTATTGAATGGTCACTTTTGCTTCTTGTGATGTCTTCCTTATCATATATCTGGTCCGCATTTTGGTCTGTTTCTGGCCTTGTCCTTCCATCCCATTCCTCAGTTTTTATGTGTGTTCTTAGTCCATGTTCTTTTAAAGAACATAGGTTCAAATGTCTTAAAATGTTTTAACATTGGATAAGCCAGTTTCTTCACTGTTCATTAGATTTTTTTTTCTACAGTTTTGCTTCCCTGTTAGTAAATGTTTGGAGTTGTCTTTTTACTGTCGCTTTCCTGAGCCACTACCTCATTAAGTTTAAGCAAGCAGCAGGAACCTGTGGATGCATTCATGTCTTTACATGATTGTAAATAATTCAGGGGTATTTTAAAGGAAAGTGTTTCCACATTAGGCATTGTCTGAGTTTTTTGTTTGTTTGTTTGTTATGGTTTTTTTTTTTTTTTTTTTGGTTTTTTGGTTTTTTTCCAGTTCTATTGTAGGTACAAAGCAGTCCCAACCATGCCTTGAGGGGCTTCCTAGAGCACAGTTGACTAAACAGGAGTTTTAGTGCAGAGGTGAGGTTCCATGTGGATTTTCGGACAAATTGGTTAAGATGGCGTGTTCCCTGGCACAGTGTTTTCCTTGCCCCCTGCATTCACATGGTCATTTTATTATATTGCTCCCATCGTTTTTAAAACGTTGTTCTTGATGACTATAATCTGATCTATCGAGTGCCAGTTAATGGGAATGCTCTTGGCTTTGTCAGTTAAAGATGATAACATGCTTCCAAGTCAGAGGGCTTCTGCAGATTAGGTCTCAGGGTAGCTTTCCTGCTGTCGCTTCTCTTTTGGTTTTGTTATTGAAAGCGCTTTTCAAATATAGACAATGCAAACGTAATAAATGGAAGGAAAGGTTCAGCTCTTTCATGACTCAATCTTTCTTAAACAATATTATTATTGACTGGCTTATTGGTTGCCAAAAAGGAAAATCAATTTTATTAGAACTATTTGGTTGGCCATAGATCTTGGTACTAACCCGGCAGGCTGATGTTATCAACTATCTGAAGAATAACTTTTACTGTGAGTCTGGAATGAAGTAATTAGAGCTGTGTCAGGTCTATTCTGTGTATTCCCATCATTTTATTATTCAGTCTATCTCATAAATTCCTTTAGGGAACTACAGTGGCTGTATTCAGTGGCCCTGCTAAGGTTGGAACTAATGTTTATTTCTAAGAAAGCCTTTATAATTTCATCTGCTAGCTGTGTACTAACAAATACTTTGTTTCTTCTACTTAGTTTTGACTTTTGGTTCCACTTTGGAAGTTGGGTTATTGTCACATTTGGTGTTAGTATAATGATGTAAATGTGTGTGTGCATGTATGTGTGTGCACGCCTGTGTGTAGACACATTCCTTGCACTCTTTTTCTTGAGAGTTTTCAGTTCTTGAAAGGACCCCCACAAACATGCGAGCTTGATACCTCTGTTGCAGTAATTAAAAACACTATGATCAAAAGCAGCTTAAACGTCCAGGTCCCAGTTCTTCACTGAGGGGAAGCAGGGATGAAACTCAAGGAGGAACTAGAGGGGAAGCCAAGAAGGAGTGATGCTCAGCTAGTTTTTTCCTATAGTCAAGGACCACCTACCCAGAGATGGCCCCACCCACAGTCAGCAGGGCTCTCTATGTCATTCATTAGTCAAGACAATCTGTCCCAGACATGGCCACAGGCCAGATGGTGGAGGCAATAAGGTGTCTGCTTCCCAGGTAGCTCTAGATTGTCAAGTTGACAATAAAACTAACCAAGACAACATTAAAAGACATTAGGATGTCAAAGATTTAATGGTAGGTAGTCTCATATTTGAATAAAGTAGTCTCAAGGCAATAAATAGGATAGGGGAGTATGAGATTCTGCAGGGTATGAGTATTCATCTGTACAATGTAACACAGATCAAAAGAGAAACATTTTGCTTAGGTGAATAGAAGTGTTTAAGGACTTCTTAAAATTTGTTTTTGTTTTGAATCACAGTTTCTCAATGTAGTCCTGGCTGTCATGGAACTCATTATGTAGAGTGAGTTCCCCTCCCAAATGCTGGGGTTGAAGGCCTATGCCACCATGCCTGGCCAGAACTTTATCATATATAAATTACATGGACTGTGACTTATAAATTAGTACAAGGGCAGTGTGCCTTCAGGAAACACCTTGCTGCTAACTATCTATTGTAAAAGGTTTAAAAAATGTGAGAAAACTACAGAGTAGTGAATAAACCGTTGGTGATGCTGCTAAATGTGATGGTGACATAAAATCTTTCCTGGTGTTTACATGTTGCCAGTGTTTATGTGAGTTGTGTCTTAAGCCACCACACCAGCCCAGTAATGTGCATAGACTACTTTGTCTTACTGATGGAGAAAACATGAGCTTAGAGAATCTTTGTAGCTATTGAGAAAGCCAGAATTGAACATTTTCTAACCAAGTCTGAGTTCTTAACCTCATCACCGTAAAACTCTCATCCTTTGTCCATAGGTACTTTTCCTTTATTTAAAATTATTAAAGTATAAATCAAATTCAACAAGGCACATTATACATAAATCCTAAGGATACAGCTCTGTGTGCATGCGCACACATACACACACCCATACACTGGCCTTTGTAACTACCTCCTATATCAAATTGCAGCATTTCCTGAACTAGAATGTAGGCTCCCTTAAGCTCCTCCCTGTCACTTTCCACACTTCCTATACCACCCTGAAATGACTGTTCAATCACCACTGATCACTTGTAGCTCTTTGTCAAATTCGAATCTTTGTAATAGTGTTCATTATACAGTATATGATATATAGTATAGTCATTTGGGTGTGGCTTATCACACTCAGCATAATACTTGTGAGGGTCATCTCTGTTGTTACATATACTATTAATTTTATTGCTGTGTAACATTCCATTGTATGCATATACTGCAGTTTGTCCCCCTTCTGTTGGACAGCTAGGATTTCTTTTTTTTCCTTCAGTTTTTGTCTATTATGAATAAAATATCTTGAGAACACTGTTGAATGTGGACACACACATTCTCATTCCTGTTCATTGTGTGGGTAGAATTGCTGGTGTATATGGTAGCTGTGTGTGTGACTCTTTGAGGGACTGCATGTTTTTTTTTTTCTAAGAGTTGTACCATTTTACATGCACACCAGCAGGATATGTAGGGTCTAGTCTCTACATTCTT